GTGTGTGTGTGTGTGTGTGTGTGTGTGTGTGTGTGTGTGTGTGTGTGCGTGCGTGTGTGTGATGGATGTTTGGCTGCAGAACGAAGAACATGACCAAGTTTGGAAGACCAGCTGTGAGGCGAGGAGGGAAAGTAGAAACAGAAAAACGTTCAGACTCTGTCTGAAGAAGATAAAAGAGACGTGACGGTAAAGATTTGGTTCTGGCTCGGCGGACTCTGGCTCAGACATCGGTGACTCTGGATTTCTCTGTCCTGGGGTGACTTGGAGTCCAGAATCCCTTGAAGGTTGACTGGGGAACCCAGGACAGGTGGAAAACTGATTGGAGAAACCGGCGCCCCCTGGAGACTGATTTGGCACCAGGACACTTTTGGAAGTTGTCCAGGGTTCTCAGGACCCCTTAGAGATTAAGTGGGGAGTCTAGGCTCTCCTCTGGGATTAACTAGAGTACATAAACTCGCCTGATGGATTAGGGCTCTAAGAACAACACTGAACATTGATTGGGGAGTTTAGGATCTTCATGAAGTATTTGGTGAGACCAAGACCCTCATTGATGTTTACTGGGGATCTAGGACCCCTTGAATGTGGATCTGAGGGGTTAGGACCCCTGGAGATTGATTGAGGTGCCTAGGCTAGATCACCCTCAAATATTCATTTGAAATGTTGAGGCCCTTGTGATAATTAATTGGTGTGCATTGGACCCTCTTTGTGGTTAATTGACGAGCCTAGAACCCCTTGGATGTGGATTTGGGGGGTTGGAGCTCCTTGGAGATCGATTGCATGAAACACCATCTGGTATTGATTTGGGAGCTGTGCTCAGGACCCTGTAGATGATTGGGGAACCATGATGTTGGATAAAAAATATCCTCTACTCATGGAGTCCAGTCACGAGAATCTGACACGGGCAGCGCGAGGCTTGTTTTTATAACCTTATCAGCTCACAGGCAGACAATGATGACCCCGGCCACCCAGCTGCACATGCAGGATCAGATCAGCTCCTCATTCAGCTGAGAGAAAAGAACTCTGGTAACTCAAACACATGGTTCATGGTTCTCAGACATAGTTAAACATCCATAAACTTTGACCAAAAATCCTCTGACACCACTTCTTTGTGGCGCCCAGGACTCGATCGTTTGGGGAGCCTTGAAAACTGATAGGAACGAACAAAAACTGAAAGATTCACTGAACACACGTTCCATCGTTACGTTTCTGTGAGAAGATGTCATGTCAATATGAACATATATCATGTAAAATAAATTCTAAATTAAAACTAACATGGTCTCAACAGGAACGTTCACAAATGTTTTCGGGGCTTAAAGCTGCTCGTTGAACCTTGACCGCAGACGGTCCCGTCCCACCTCATCGGCTCCGCAGAGGAGACGTGTCTGAGACGACGCAGACCTTCAGTCCTCCCGGCTCAGAACAAGCACAGAGGACATTTGGGGTTTTGTTCTGGTTTGGGGTTCAGGAGCGTCACAAATAAAACCTGTAGCATCCGGAAAGTAGAAAACATGAACCCTCCCCTCATCTTATTGTACAGCCGTTCATTTTTCAACTGTTTTTATGTTTTCAGGGTAAAAATCCCACAGAGGCGGCTCGTTGAACCGAATGAAGCAGAAAGGAATCCTGCGGTCATTAAGTGTCGAGCTGTGTTGACTTTAGACTAAAAATAACTGGCTGTGATGTGTAACACACACACACACACACACACACACACACACACACACAGCTGTTTAAAACAAAGTGGCAGAGTCGTTCGTTGCCGTCAGAGCTTTCAGACGTAAACACTCGATGCAGCTGCTACACATCTTATTTTAACTCCATCGTTGTTTCGGCTCTTTGATCGCCAGCTGACCGTTTGTACCTGCGGGACGATTTCAGGCACCGCTCAGATTAAAAACCGCTCAAGTGGCTGCCACCGGCTGAACTCTGCTCCCAAACGTCCAAAAACTGGACTTGATGACAAAATGAGGCCTAGTTGGTCATTTTGACCCGAGGGCAGCAGGAAGGTCAAAACAGAGGTGCAGTTCATAATTCAGCCTCTAGAGGGAGCTGACCCTGATTGGAAGAGGGTTTTATTTTTCTTTGAATTAACTTTAAAAATTTAAGATGTAAAAGCACAACATTCTTTAAAGAAGCTGAAGCAGAACAAAATGTGAAAGGAGCAGTAAAAGGTTGTAAACACATCTAAAGATATGAAGGATGGAAAATTAGCTCAATTCATTTTCTATGAGAATAAAATGGCAGAAAAGGCTAAAATATTTCAAACAGCTAAAGTTGCACCAATACCAAAAGTCATAGGATTGTCCTGAAAGAGCTGAACGTTTTGATTTATGATTTGATGAAACGGATGAAAACTGCTGGACGAGAATCGAGCTGAAAAACGTACGAGAAAACAAATGGATTAGAGTGAATTTTTCACAAAAATTAATTAAAATAAATTATTAGTTTCATGCTGACTGAGTTTATGAGTACTTAATTTACAATTAAAATGTATTAAAATATAAAAATTAATCTTGGTTTTATTTTATTCGTGCACCATTTCTCTGAAATAGAAAATAAAAAACAGCAAGTTAGAACATTGTGCGTTAAAACTTTATTTTTAGAATAAAAACAAATCGGAGTCATTAAAAAAAAAAATCAAAACAAATTCTAGTTATGATCCATCAGAACAAAAAAAACAAACTTTATACCAGCTTTAAACTCGACGTTTGTTTTTTAATGTAGGACTTCTGGTCATTTTATTAGTTTGAAAAAGGAAATAAAATAAAATCACAGCATGAAACCAGCTTCCTGAGAATTTTTACATTTTAAAACCACAACGTCAGAAAATATGGAAGTCCAATACTGAAAAAAAAAAAAAAAAAAGTCCATATATACGAAAGAGTTTTTACAAAATTAAATTAGTTACCAAACTCCCTGCAACTTTAATTACTTACCGCTTCCATAAATTGTGTTTTACGAAAAAAAAAAAAGATAATTCATACTTCATTATTTTATTTTATGTAAAGCACTTCAGGCAACAGAAGATTTTTTTTAAATGTTTATTATTAAATCAAACAAGCTAAAATGAAGGATTTAATTATATATTTTCCTGTAATGGTAAAAAATAATAATTTGATCATCCATAGACTTAACTCTTATCAAGCATTTAAAATTTGACATTTAATTGTGAAATTAAATGTTCAGACAGTTTTGCTTGTTTAAAATAATATACATAAAAAAAACTTAATAAAGTGAAAAATCAAAAAGGTTCTGTGCTAAACTTCTTTAATCAACAAATTGTTGCTTCAAAAAAAAAAAAAGTTGATTTGATTTTGACGTAAATTCATTATTTTCATTCGCCAATTTAAATATTTTTTCCATATACCTGATCTTCACTAAAAAACATTTGTTGCACTAAACTTTCAAGTATTTTCTTCACTTTAAAGCTTTTTCATGACATGGCCAGAAAAAAAAAAAAAGCATATGTATATATATATATAAAAAACGTTTTGCTAAATCAAACTAAGCACTTCTGGGACGCCATACCCGCCATGCTCCTTCAAAACAAAAGCGCAGAACAAGTTGCACTGAGGTCAGTTGGGCGTTACTGCGCCTTCTAGTGGGCGGAGTTTGGTAGTGCCTCAGGCGGTGGTGGCGCCAGGACTCTTGCTGATCTGACAGTAGAGGACCATGGAGAAGGCCATCCCGAAGACCTGCAGAGAAAACAAAAAATATAAAAATCTGAGTTTAGATACGAAGTTCAAAACTAAAATCAAGCTCATGATGAAGATGATGAAGTTACCAGCAGGGCGGCGATGGCGAAGGCGATTCCTACGGCCACCTCCATGTGACTCTTTATAAACTCGATGGCTTTGTCATAGCAGGCCTGAAGAACCAGAACAACATTTATCAAACGAGGTTTTATCGATGGGATGAAACGAGTCTGAAGGTGAAGATTCACACGTCAAGGACCAGACGAACCCTGAAGTCAACTGGACTTTGGTCAGAAAAGAGAGAGCTTTGACGATGCTAATCCAGGGCATGGAGTTCCATAACGTGCACGCAACATTATGGAAGCTATGGACGTTTGAACGTTATGGACGCATCTGCAGCAGTTTACCTGCAGATTAATCCGACTCCCCTCTCCTCCTGAGGGTCGCAGGTTGCCGGAGTATCAGAGTATTCTCCAGGAACGACATCCGTTAGATCTCTTGGGGCCGTTTTCACCGAACACTTCCCTGAAACGGCCGCGCAGACCGGCCGGTCTTCAAGCTACGTCTGGCTGTCCGTGAATCATCGACGGAGCCGGCCACGTCATGAAGAGACCCGAGCTTTCAGCAACAAGGCGAGCGTTGTGGAACTAGAAGAGGCTTGGACCAGAACTCAGCTGGGTTGATGTGGAGCGCAACGTTCCAACGCGACGGACGTTTCCATCGTATCGTTTTTAAAACATGAAGTTACTAACGATCCTCGTTGGGGTTAAATTATTTTAAACTAAACCCAGAGTTGCCTTGTGTTGTCATTGAGCTTTCCTCTGTAATAAATCTGTTGAATCCTGGACTGGGGGGAGGGGGTTGTACAGACTGGATGTCGTCACATCATGGGGGGGCGGGGTCAGCTCACCTGTTCACACATCGATTGCTCCGCCTTTGTTACAACCTCGCTCCACAGCTCAAAGGAGCATCAGGGTAGGTTGGCTCGGACCCCTCCGCCCGGTCCACTCAGGGTGTCTTCTGAAAAAGCTTTTAACGGAGAGCGGCCCATGCTAAGCAGAGACCCTAATGACCCTCAGGAGGAGGTGGGGGGAGATTTATCGGCATGGCATTTTTTTCTTTGCTGCACCAACAGGTCATCTCAGTTTAAAGTTTGAGGTCCAGGTTGTTGTTTCGTTTGTGTTTCAGGAGATGAAATGAAAAATCTGGTTTCTTACCGTCTGGTAGATGTTGTTGCTGGTGCCAAAGGCGGTGCCGGGCTTGCACTCGGCTGTGTTGTCAGCAGTGACGTTGCAGCGGCAGGAATCAGGAATTTTTGTCCAGTCTGCTGGTCCTTTCAGAAGACCACAACATTTGAGCTGGAGAAAACAAAAGAAACTGATTAGAACTAGAACCGGTTTAAAACCTGTTTAAGCTCCAGGTTTGGCCCCAGACGCCATTCTGTGATTTTGTTGAGGAACTCTTATTTCAGGGGTGAGTGGTCAGAGGCAGGTGAGGCTCAGGTTTCATCATATTCAGTTATAAACGTCTAAAATGACTCAGAATAACTGAATTCATGCAGTTCCTTTAGAAAACAAGACAAATGTGAAGGGAGGCAAAGAAAACGAAGCATTTAGAAAACGTAACGCATTCAGGCACTGGAAAACTTCAGCGGCCGACGACAAGCAACTTTTCACCACGTTACCAAAAATATCATGGACGACGGGCTAATTTTAACAAATGTTCAGGAATTATTAGATGTAGATCTGAAACAGATCAACTTTAGAGTCCAATACAAGGTGGCCGTAAGAGCAGCTACAAATAAAAAATGGCTACAAGTTAGTTTTACCGTTACTGAGTCAATATGTGGGGTGGTAACAGACGAGTCATCCCAACAAACAGAGTGCCGATTCTTTACGTTATATTTAAGATTAAACAAAAACAAGAGGATAAATTTGTACCTTTACGTTAAGAGAAACTCAAAGGTCTCTGAGATAAATAAGAACCTCCAATCTCTTTGGAAGATGTTCTGGGCATAAGTTCCCGAGACGCTCCGTCCTCTGCTTTCTTTGGTCCCATGTTCAGTGCACGCCATGACGCCAAACAGCCCTGTGACTACCGGTCACTCTTTATATTTGCTGACTGATTACAGACTGAAGACACCCGAGGTGTGGAGGACAGGACACCTTGGTTTGAAAGGACGGGTGGTTCGGTTAGGGTACCAGGGTGTCCTCCTTGAAAACGGTCCAGGAAGCACCGATCGGTGCCCTCACCTGCAGAATCAGGAACTCTGAGATCACCTGTCGTATACCAGAACGACCCGCCCTGCTCGGCTCTGATTGGGTCCAACTGTGGCTCTGGTTCCCTTTATTAGCGAAAAGCAGCATCAGTTTAATCCCTGACAAAGAACGTTAATCCCTGTCAGATTATCATCTTTTGTCATTTTATTTGAGTCAGTTTCAAGTTGTTCCAGTGACCTTTGAGTTTCTTTAATGAAACCAACACATGGATCTTTGTACAACTCCTTCCTCCACAAGGAGTTGGAGAATTTGATTTAAAACTCTGGCGTGAAAAGCCGTGGGTGAAAAGAGCGTTGGGGACTTTTGAAGACCAGTTTTTTTAACTGGTTTTTGGTGCAAAGCAGGTTTTGGGTTGTGTGGTTACCTCACGCTGCAGTTTCTCCACGTCATCAACGACGTTTTGTGGTTGGCTTGAAATCGGTGACAGTTCTTCCAGCTTGGTCTTCACCCAGGTCTTCACCTGCAACACACCACATTTGATCCTCCAAACTACTGACGAAGCACGCAAATCAACGATGTCACTTCCTGCCTTACGGTGTTGTCGCCTACAGCTCCCAGGATTCCTGCTGCCAACAGGAGGGTGAAGATGATGAGGAGGAAGATGAAGAACTGAGGAAACGAAGGATGCAGTCATTTCAGAACATTTTTTATTTTTCTGTGTATTTTTTATTCATTTCCGTGTAATCTGCGCCACTTTCCCCATCATCCATCAAAACGTTGAGCTCATGCAGGAAATCAGCGCCGTGTCTTCGATTAGGAACTTCTACACGTTTCAAATGATTGGACAAATATTTCTCTACGAAAATTTAAGGAACTGAAGCACTCATTCTTTGAAATCTTTGGTTTTTCTTTGGCTGCCATTGTTCTAACATTTTGTACTCGTGTCTCTCGAAGAAGTCGATTTAAAGTCGCGATTCCCAACCGTGGTCCTTGAGGAACACCATCCTGCGTGTTTTAGTCGTTTCTCTGCGCCATCACACCTCACTGAGTGATTTAATTACTTCCTCCAGGTCTGCAGAAGCCTGTTAATCACCCATTCATTCAAATCAGGCGTGTCAAAGCAGGGAAACAAAACATACAGGATGGTGTTCCTCAAGGACCAGTGTTGGGAACCACTGATTTAAAGCAGCAACTTCTTGTTTCTTGAACTTTAGTTGCGCTCATTTACGTCTTTATCTAAACAGAGTGATGTCGTTTTAAGAACAAAGGGCCTGCCCACCAGCAGCAGCATGCAGCGGTTCTCTCTGTACGCTCCACAGCAGCCCAGGAAGCCGAGCACCATGATGATCACTCCAATAGCGATCATGAGCTCAAAGCTCGGAAGACTGTCCTGAATGACCTTGAAGACAAAAAGGAGGTGGGGACAAATGTACAAGTTTAGTCACAATAAAAAAAAAACTGGTGAGTTCTTTAAAACACTCGAGTGGACACGGGACGACAAAGTCTTACTGAGATTTTAGCATTGGAGACTTTAAGGTAGATCCCGACGCCCAGGATGATGCATCCGCTGAGCTGAGGAGGAAGAGAGACATTTGATGCGTTACACTTTTGATTTTTGGAACCAAGTCTAAAGAACACGAGGCAACATCTGGTGGAGTCAACCTGAAACGTCAGACAAGAGTAAACGGACATTTTTACTGGAGTTAGCGCCGTTTGATCCGTTAAGGTCCATCAAGGAGGAGGAGCGAGACACCGTGTCTGGAAAACCCCGTTCAGATCGTTGCAGCGATCGGATCTCAGGTAACTGGATGAATTAACTTGTCAAACGATTGAAACTCGTCTTTTCCAGGAACATTTTTTAAAGCCCCGCATGTTCATTTCAACTCTATCCCAATAAGTAGTTATGGCTTCCAGACTCCCTTCATACAGACACGACACCGGGACACAAAACCTAGAACAATCAGAGCGTGGAAGAAGCAGCAGGGTCTTGATGAAGCCGGCTTGTGGGTGGAGTGCATCAACAAGGCTTGGCTGTCAAGAATCTGACGCAGGACAGGCCTCGTGCCGAGGCTACGGTCGTCCAGGACTTAAACCCTATACATTTCAAATTAAAGCAACTGGACTTCACATTCTGCGAAGCTCCCTGAACGGAACTGAAACATCTCCACCTACAGAATATTAGCTTTCAACTGCCGGAGATCCTCTGTTAATGCATTTACATTACCATGCAGATTAATGAGACTCCCCTCCCACCTGAGGGTCATTAGGGTCCTTTCCCAGATTACAACAGATGTTTTGATCACTTCCAGAAGGTGTGGATGATGCACATTCACTCCTTCATGCACGTGATGTGAGCCAGGTAAACAGAGTCTAATGACCCTCAGGAGGGAGGAGGAGGAGATTAATCTGCCTCCAAACTCAGCTGCTTAAAATGAGCTTCTCATTCAGTCTAGAGCTTGAAACTTCAAAAACTAGTTTGAAACAATTCCCGGGAGGGAAGCAGACGGTCTGCAACTACAGAATAAACGTCCAGCTGGTTGGATCGTCCGTGATGATGCAACAAGCAGCTGCTGATGGGATTCAGGAGCGGTTCTTAGAGTTTCTGATCAGGATGTGCCACTTCACCATTAACACCCACCACCAACACACACACACACACACACACACACGTTTAAGTTAATTCACTGGTCATTTGGGAAAACCAACAAAACTCCACGCTCTGGTTTTTGCTCCGAGCCGAACATGAAATGAAACGCGAGCCGATTGCATCAACACTGAAGAACGACTCCACCCTCAATTAATTTCTAAAACGGAAATCAGAGCAGGGCTCAGCGTTTCCATGGAGATACATCCCACAGGAAGCGTTACACCTCCTGATGAAGTTCTTTCATCGAGACTCCTCTTCAACGTCGACACGTTTTAAACCAAAGTCCTGTTAGACTCAAAGATTAAACGTTTCAAAAAGTGACTTTACAACTCACGGTTAGTTAAATTATAAATCCTAAATGCTCATTTCAAAATAATATTTAAATGATAAAACATCCATCCACATACAAATTCATTCATTTATGGTTAAGCTTTTTATTCCAAACTGAAAACATTTAAGTTTACTACAGTTCTAATGAGCCTTGGAGCAAATTAACTGATTTATTAAGAGGAAAATAAATAAGTGAAATACACACGAGCCCACACTCTGAAAACTTTATATTTAATGTGTTTACTGTCAAATTAATAATCTGAAATTATTCATGTGGCTCCGAGTTCATTTCATTTTAATATTTTGCTTTTTACTTTATTGTGTACATCGTCACCCGACTCCGAAAGGTGAAGTCGGGCAACAACAACTGACATCTCGTGAAGCTCCAGGTCAACGAGCTGATCTGAGACAGAAACTGCAGCATGAAGGCGGCGGGCGATGAGCATTCCTTTGAGCGAGCCCTTTAAAACGTTACCGGACGTGACGACGCATCACGAGACGCGACTTCTGTTCCCATGAGCGCAGAAACAAACAGACCCCACCCTGAAAGTTTTTATATCAACTGAACTGAAAGAACGATTTCCTGAGCTGCTCCTCAGACCTGACCAGTCCGACCAGTCCGACCAGTCGAGACGTTCATAAATTTGAAGTGACTTCTAGTTTGTTTCTTCCAGCAGAAGTTTTAGAAATAAAGTTTTATTTTAAATCATTTAACAGAGATCGTCCACGCTTCTCGCTCTTTCAACTCGTTCTCCGCAGAAGAGAACTGGATCTTTGAGGGAACCATCGCCCGTCTCCTTCCACGCCAGAGTCCCACTCGAATCTTCTCACGACGAGAAAGGACGCTGAAGTCGAGTAGCTGTGGCGGCCATCTTGAACCGGCGGACTCGAAGTTCAATCAGCTGCAGAAGAAAGTCTCGTTTAATTTCTGAGTTCTGTTAAACGGGTCCAGAACCTGGAGATTTTACACGACGGGGGTCCAGAACCTGGA